GAGCAAGGAGTACAAAATGTGACAGTTAAGACAGTTACCTTCACGGGTACACAGAATGGTGTGAGGGTAAAAACTTGGGCAAGGCCTAGTAGTGGCTTTGTTAGACATGTTCTGTTTCAACATATCGTTATGTCTAACGTTCAAAACCCGATAATCATAGACCAAAACTACTGTCCTAATCATGAAAGTTGTCCTCATCAGGTATTGATTCATCAGAATTATGATAAAATAAGATGAATCGCGTGTTCCTTTACCTTAATCTAGCTAATTTACATTACATATTTTCTGTTTTCTTTTTAGGGCTCGGGTGTGAAGATAAGTGATGTAACGTATCAAGACATACATGGAACATCCGCTACAGAAGTTGCAGTGAAATTAGATTGTAGCAAAACGAATCCATGTTCTGGAATAACACTAGACAACGTAAATCTTAGTTATAAAAATGGTCGCGCTGAATCTTCATGTGTTAATGCTGCAGGAAAAGCTTCTGGTTTCAAAGAACTCACTAGCTGTTTATAAAGAACAACAAAAGTTACAGTATTTTGCAGTTAAATATACAGAATATAACGAAAAATACACTCGTATACGAATACTACATTTGCTATATGTACCTAGAAGAAAAAAATTTGAATGTAATGTAATTTTATTTGTTCTGTTACTTGTTGATGTTCTTTAAGCTGTATTTTCGATTCTTTTGTATAATACATTACTACTATACATATACTGATCGTTGATGTTCTATTGATTTCTATTCGTAATTTCATAGCAATACCCTTCTCAACGTTCGTTCTGTACTGTTCTGTTTCGTTCTGTTCAATGAGCTGAAAATTGCGAGTTCTGGTTTTTGTGCAGACTATTGTATGTAAATGGAACTTCAAATAGACGTAAGTAGAAAGACATTCTATTAAAATGAATAGTGAGACAACAATTTCACTTTCAAATCGCGCTATAGACTCAAGTGAACTTTTCTAATTTCGAAAGATAAAAATGGCAAAGCTAAGCTAAATATACGAATTCGAGTTTTCCCTTACAAACAACTAGTAGGTTGAATTACACCAGTAGTTGTTCCTGCAACATTAGAACATGAAGCTTCAGCAGCTGGTTCATTCTTATAACTCAGATTAACATCTTCCAGTTTTATTCCTTTACATGGATTTCTCTTACTGCAATCAAACTTCATCGCGACTCGTGTTGCTGAGCTACCATGTATATCTTGATACGTAACATCACTTACTTTCACGCCCGAGACTTGTCCTGGACAATTCTTGTTATACGGACAGTAATTTTGATCGATAACAATTGGATTTTCAACATCAATCATCGCAACGTGCTGGAACAGTACATTGTTGACAAATCCAGTACTTGGTCTTCCCCATGTTTTGATCCTCACACCATTTTGTGTGTTCATAAACATAACTGATTTTACTGTCACATTTTGCACCCCTGCCTCTTCAAAATCCTTCGCTAAGCTTCCAATGCTACTCAAAATACACGGAGGGTTTAAGTATCTGTTGTAACAGTCTTATTTTCAATATGACAAACATTAATACTAATATTACCTAATTCCATGGCCAGGGCCACACGCGACATTTTGGATCCACAAATTACTAGTTCCTGGACCAATGGATACGCAATCATCTCCAGTACTGATTATTGAGTTCAATATTGAGATATCAGACGATAATTGAACATGAATTCCATCAGTGTTGGGGCTTTCACCCGGGGCATAAACCTTAACACCCTGCAACTTCACATTTTTGCAACCATTGATGACAATATGAAACATTTGGCTGTTCAATGAAGTTAACCCCGTTATCGATACATTGTTAGAGTTAGAAAATCCCAGAGTCTACAACAAAACAATAACAATTTTCAGTTTAGTTCCAAAAAACAGAACTTAATTCACTGATTTTTAAAAATAAAATAAAAATTTAATCAACCATAAATGACAATGTAGAAAATGTCATAGACAGTTATTCACATAAAGTACACATTTATCCTTATTTGAAGGAAACGTTACACTCATATAGAAAACTGCTGTAATGTTTTGAGTAATGAACAGTCTTTTATCAACGACGATATCAAATTATCTAAAAGATAACTATACGTAACGACAAGTAAATGAAGTAGTAGATATAGTTACGTTCTTTATGTTGTTAGTGTATATAAGTTCAGTTCTTGCTAAACATACTATCAGGTTATCTAAAAGATCATAACTATACGTAACAGTTCATAAAATTAGCAGATAACCTCGATAAACAAAACAAAATAGTACCAACACGGAAAACAAAGTACGTTATTGTGATATACTGTTAGTATATATAAGTTAAAACGTACCGTAGCCCCTCTAGGGCAGTTCTTGGTAGAACTTTTGCAAGTCCATAAACTAGATCCTTGACCATCAAGATTACCACCAACAATTGAAACACCATCAACACCTTGAAATAAAATCCAATTTTTTTCATTTCCAATCACATTATAATCGAAAGGCGCTACGATTGAACCATCGATACGAAAAATTATGGGATTATTGTTGCATTTTCCTTTAAAATATGCTTGTTTAACTAAAAAAATCCCTTTTGGTACATAAATTGTTGATGATTTTGAAGAGTTACAAGCTAAGTCCCAAGCAGATAAAAATGCATATGATGAGTCAGTTTTGTTATCTGATTTTGCACCAAAGTTTATAACATTTAAAAACATAACATCAGCTATAGATTTAGTGAAAAAAATTGAAAAAAATGAAATTAGAAGAATTGAAGAAAAGGGGTTGTTAATTTTCATCTTTCTTGATGAAATATGAAAATTATAAAACTAAAGACTAAAAAAATAAAAAAATAAAAACAGAGAAGAATTTAAGAGTTGAGAATTATGAGTAGTGTGGATGAACAGTTTCTGAGTTGTGAGCTTTAATTTATAATTTTCAGTTTTTTTCTACTTCATAAAAGAGTGATTATTTTTTGGAATAAAAGAAGTAAGAAAAACTTTTTTTTTTAATTTTTTTTTTGAAAGTGTAACTTACTTTTGAAAAATGAAAACTTTGGTCACATGTTAAAGACTAAAGCACAAAAATAATAATATTTAAAATAATCTTTAGTTTACTAAAAGTTTTTTTTTTTTTTGCAAGAAGCTAAAGAAAGGAATTTGAGTTAATTTGGGATTAAAAGTCTTTTAATTTGGCATATAATATGATAAATGACCTATACTGTTTTTCTCTTTCGGTTTATTAAAGAGAAAAAAAAAACAAAAAAGGTACTCATTTCGTCTAAAATTTATATCGTGATTTCTAAAAATAATTATTTCAAATTATTTAAAAGTTTGAGCTAAACTCGATTCGTTTCTTTATTCTTTAATTGGTCTTAGTGATTACAAATGTAATAACTCAATAGAGTAAATATTTAATGAAAATTAAAAAGATATTATATTTCCAAGAGTAAAATAGTCAAATTAAAACAACTCCTAATTAATAACGGTTTTAAGGAATTTGTAATAAATAAAAATGTGATAGATAATTTGATATTAGGTTATTTTAAAATTTTAAAAATTAAAAGAGATGAATATAAAGCTCCTTTTTTCACATAAAACGGTTTTTTTACTTAAGCTTTATTAATTCAGTTAATTGACTTTTTAGGCATGAACAATTAATATCCTATTTTATAGTGCTACATGGCCACGACAGGGTTACACTATTATAGGAAAACCATATATATAGCTTTAGAATTAATAAATAACATTGTTTATTTTTATTTTTGAAAAAATAATCTTATTTTAAAAAATTTAACATCTTTTAGAATTCGAGAGTCAAACGAGTTTTTTTGCTGTAATTCTTTTATGTATTTTTTTTTAATTATTAAGACTTGTAATATTTTTTATATAGTTTTAAATAAAAAAAAATAGTAAAAATTATATATCCGAATTCACAATCAAGTAATAAAATTTGACTTGAAATTCGAACAATACCATGTATATTCGAAAAGAATTAAAATCTGTTACGAAGAATTTTAATAGCTTAATTAATTGTCAATCTGAACGATATATTTTTTCCTCACAATTTTCTTGTTTGTCCAAAGAGAGAAGTTGATAACATAATCATTATTTGTGGAAAAAAAATAGCGGTTGAGTATATGCATCGTGGTGTGTGTGGAGTGTGAGGGTTGGGGTGTGGGGGACTAATCCGAATTCATATAAAAAAGTTTCACTTTTAAGGTAAAATGTACTTTATCAAAAACGATTTCATATCTAAAATTCAAAATCGAAATCTCTAATTAAAGAAGAAAGATTACTTTCTACGATCTGATAATGATGATTGAAAACAGATATTGAACACGTCAAGTAATATAAAGTCATTTCAAGTTGCTTAAGCTTAACAAAAAGAGGAAACATGTTACACCAAAAAAGTGCACTAATTTAGTACAAAAAGTTACCATATAAATATGACATGATCATTTGCTACATATCATTTTTTTCTAAAAGAAAATTATTCATAGGAGGATATGGATATTGATATTAAGGAATATGGTAGAAGGTTAATAAGTACCACTTATTATTAAGTAGGTAGTCGATCGTTGTCTGATTTTCCTTATTAGTATAAATATTAGAATACAGGGTCGAAAACACACTTAAAACGTTTTGATTTTTACAAGTTTCGTGCTAGTTTCATATTTGAACTATCTGAAACATACATATAGTGGCCTCAATCTTCCTCAAAGTGTCAATATTAAGTAGCTTTCTTTACTAACTAGACTCAATGTAGTTATCATCTATACACATATTACTAATCAAGTAGCAGGGGAATCATGCTATATCTGGCGCTGACGTTTTCAACATGATTTTTTTCATTTCTATGGGCTTAAACTCGAGACCTCTAGTTAATGTAGATTCTTTTAGAAACCACAAATGCAATCAATATAACTTTCCAATATTGTAAACTACAAAAAATAGTACTAGTCCTATATATAGACTTCACAAATGCCAGTTGATAATAAGGGAGTTTTCTGTACCTAGTCGTCGTTTCGACCTTGAGAAATTGTCTTGAGTTTGTCATAAACTTCCAGCATTGTTGGCCTTTCATTAGGTAAGAACTTCACACAGTCACAAGCTAACTGTAGAAACTCGAGGATCAGATCGTTGATTCCTTTTCCAAGCAAATCTTTATCTGCATCAAGTAAACAAGGCGAGTGATCAAACAGATTTCTCGAGCTGGCCAATTCATGCGGTTCCTTCCCTGTAACCAGCTCGAGAAGTACAACACCGAAGCAATACATGTCTTGCTTGTAAGAACCTAAACATGAATATTCAGCTACTGGGAAAAGACTCCAACTTAATGCTGTATCATTCTTACTCCAAATTTTTGCTTCCCAAAAGTTGGATATTTTGGGCTCAAAATTTTGATCTAGCAAGATACATCGCGTGCTTATGCTTCCGTGTGTAACGTGCAATCTGTAACCATGATGAAGCCAAGATAGACCTTTTGCTATCCCAAGTGCAATTTTAACTCTAAGACGGAAGTCTAAAATCTTGGCCTTGTCTTCGTTCGAGTGCAGCCATTCATGAAGACTTCCATTATGCATGTATTTGTAAACAAGAAGTCTTTTTTCCTTTTCAACACAAAAACCTATAAGAGGTAATAGGTTACGATGCCTCACACCACCAAGAGTTGTAATCTCCTAGACAAACTCGTCCTCCAAGTTCTCTGAGTCATTCAGTTTCTTGATTGCAAGTGTCCAGTCATTTGGTAGAATTGCTTTGTACACTTTGCCCAGCATTCCGTTACCTACCAAATAATCTTCACTATAATCAGAAGTTGCGTTTTCCAGCTCCGTGAAGCTCATTCTCGTAACAAACTTCTCCAGCTTTAATTTCTGTAAACCAGCAAGTTAAATCATTGGAACATACACAGAACAGAACAGAAATTTGAGAAGCTTACTTCTATCACATTCGATCATTGAATAAGGAATTTATACCTCGATTCATATCTTTAGTCGAGAATATATAACATGATGGATTTGTAAGGACTAATAACTAAACTAGAACTACAGAAATAATATGTAGCTTAACAATGCAGGAGAAAAGACGGAAAGTTAGCAAAATCTTTACCTTCTGGTGATTGCTTAATTCTTCTTCATACCTGAAGTTAAGTCCTTTTTCCTCAGCTTCCAGATGTTCAACGAGACTATCTTGTCAATACCCTTGACAGGAAATTTAAATAAGCAAAGGACTAAAACAAATGTAAAGAAAAGAGCCCAACCACACACAACTGCTTCGATAAATGAAGCACGATCTACATGTTTCCATATCCAAGAATCCTCACATCCTTTCAAGGGCTCCCCACAAAGCTCATTGTTTGCAAAACTCTCAGCTGTGATATTTTCGCTAACAAACGATGGCACTGGTCCAGTCAAGTAATTGTTGGCTACAGTGAACGTCTTAAGGCGAGGCAAATAGCCTATTCTTCTTGGGATTTCACCTTCTAGATTATTATTGTCCAGCTTTAGAACATTAAGGTATTGACAATTAGCTATATCAGGTGGTATATAGCCAGAAAACGTGTTATATGAGAGGTCAAGTATTGTAACATATTTAAGTATCACTGAAATATCAGAAGGGGTGGTTCCATACAAGTTGTTGCCAGAAAGATATAAATCTGTTAAGCTTGTACAATTTCGAATGCCTCAAGGAAACTCACTGCTTAATCCTAAGTCCGAAAGTCTGAGGTTCATTACCTTATTCTCATTACTATTCCAGCAGTTAACTCCCCTGAAACCGCAGATGAAGCCTTCGTTAGCATTGCTGAAATCACAAGAGTCCAAAGAATTGAATCAAGCAATAAAAATCAGTCTCTGAAGCACTGCAGACACAAATTCTGCTAAGTAATATCAATAGAAAGCCAAGAAATGCACAGATGAAAAAGAACGTTTTTGTTCTGATATTGGTTTCCTCCATAGTTTACACTTATTGTAGCAATGACAAAGCTTCAATTTTTCTCTTTATTTATCGATGATTCTTGAATTCATGGTTTGGCATTCTCAGCATAGAATTTTCAAACATATGGAAGTTTGAATAAGTGAATAGACAAATAAGAATGGATGGCACTCTGGGGGATTATAAAACAAGAATAAACAGAAGTTATAAAGAGGAAATAAGCAAATATACTGTGATTTTGAGCTTTTTTTTAAAAAAAAGACAGTTTAATGCACTAAACTCCTACTAGGTCTACTGTACGCAGTCTTACCTTGCATCTCTTTAAGAGACTGTTTTCACAGCTCGAACATGTAACCTCCTAGTCACAAAGCAACAACTTTACAGTTACGCCAACAAAAAAACAATTGTATAGTTTCTTTCCAAGAATTTTCTCCACCTGAAAATCTTTCAATATATGATTTGTATATTGTGGTGTCAACCTTACTTATATAGCATAAGGAAGTCAACGACTAAATACAATTGATTTGTTCTTATTTTTAAGTATATATTCTTATTTCAAACTGGTTGATTTGTTCTATTAGAATACAGATTCATAGTCAACTTCTCTTCTTTACAATATGCAAATAAAAGCTATCTAAATAAAGAAACTGCACGATGTAGACTTCAACGGATTCATATATATTACAGTTAGAACAGAAGCTATCAGCATACGGACTCGAGGCACGGATTTCATGCTTTAATATAGTGCATTTCTTATTTGTTTTTCTCAGTAACCATAAAAACAATAGCACTAGTCATATTTACTTGAAATATCGGTTAATAATGGTATCTTCTGTATCCAGTCCCTTCGACCTTGAGAAATATTCTTGAGTCTGTCGTACACTTCCAGCATTGTTGGCCTTTCATTAGGAAAGAACTTGACGCAGTCACAAGCCAATTCAAGAAATTGGAGGATTAAATCATCAGCTCCTTTCCCAAGCAAATCTCTATCTGCATCAAGTAGACAAGGCGAGTGATCGAATAGATTTCTTGAGCTGGTCAGTTCATGTGGTTCCTTCCCTGTTACCAGCTCGAGAAGCACGACACCAAAACAGTAGATGTCTTGCTTGTAAGAGCCTAAACCTGAATATTCAGCTACTGGGAAAAGACTCCAACTTAATGCAGAATCATTCTTACTCCAAAATTTTGCTTCCCAAAAGTTGGCTATTTTTGGTTCAAGATTTTGATCTAACAAGATACATCGTGTGCTTATGCTTCCATGTGTAACGTGCAATTCGTAACCATGATGAAGCCAAGCCAGGCCTTTCGCTATCCCAAGAGCAATTTTAGCTCTCCGAGGGAAATCCAAAATTTTCGCCTTAACTTCATTCGAGTGCAGCCATTCATCAAGACTTCCATTACTCATGTATTTGTAAACAAGAAGTCTTTCTTGCTTTTCAGCACAGAAACCTATCAGAGGCAACAGATTCCTATGCCTCAGACCACCAAGAGTTGTAATCTCAGAGACGAACTCGTCTTCCAAATTCTCCCAGTCATTGAGCTTCTTGATGGCAAGTATCCAGCCATTTGGAAGAATTGCCTTGTACACTTTGCCCAACATCCCATTCCCTACTAAATAGTCTTCACTAAAACCAGAAGTCGCGTTTTCTAGCTCCGTGAAGCTCATTCTCGTAACAAACTTCTCCAGCTTTAACATCTGTAAATAAAACAAGTACAATCATTTGAACATATACAGAACAGAAACTTGAGAACCTTATTGCTATCACGTTTGATCATCGATCGAACAAATATAACATAATGAACTAGCATGGACTAATCACAAAATTAGAACTACAGTAGAAAAGGTAATTTAGCAGACTATAAGCAGTGCAGTGCAGCAAATTTAGTAAGATCTTTACCTTATGTTGGCTGCTTAATTCCTCTTCCCTTCCTAAAGTTAAATGTTCCTTTTTCCTTAGCTTCCATATGTTCAATGAGACTATCTTGTTGATAGCCTTGGTAGGTAATATAAATAAACAAAAGACTAAAACCAATGTAAACAAAAGTACCCAACCAATCACAAACGCTTTGATGAACGAAGCACGATCTACATGTTTCCATATCCAAGAATCCTCACATCCTTTCAAGGGCTTCCCACAAAGCTCTGAATTGTTTTCAAAACTCTCAACTCCGAAACCTTCTCCAAAAATCAATGGCACTGGGCCAGCCAAGTAATTGTTAGCTACACTGAACGTCTTAAGGCGAGGCAAATAGCCTATTCTGGCTGGAACTTCACCTTCTAGATAATTATTATCCAACTTTAAACCATTAAGGTATTGACAATTAGCTATATCAGATGGTATATAGCCCGAAAACGTGTTATTTGAGAGATCAAGTATTGTAACATGTTCAACTATTGCTGAAATATCAGAAGGGATAGTTCCATACAAGCTATTCCCTGAAAGATCTAAACTTGTCAAGCTTGTACAATTTTGAATGCCACGAGGAAACTCACCTATTAATCCAAAGCCTGGAAGTTGGATGCTCAGTACCTTATTCTCATCAACATGCCAGCAACTGATTCCAACAAAGTGACAGATGAAGCCTTCAGTAGCATCACTGAACTCCCAAGAGCCCAAAGAATTGAAAGGGTCATGTAATGAATCTTTTATTGATTTCAAGCAATAAACATCACTCTCTGAAGCACAACACACACAAATTCTGCTAAATAGTAATACTAATAGAAAACCAAGAAATGTTCTGAAATTGGTTTTCTCCATATTTTGATTCTTGACAGACTTTCTAGCAAATCAAGAATTAAAAAAGTGATCTTTTTTTACACTTATTGTGTTGCAATGGGGTCAGGGTCAGTCAAACTAGTAAGGCTAAGAACTCAACTTTCTTCTAATTTATTGAAGCAATTATTATAAAAGTTTCGATTTTATAAGTAGTGTTCGAAGAAAATATTTATACGCGAAATTTAAAAATATTATATCTCATAGGTTAGCCGATAAAAAAAAAAAATTGCAACTAAAGACTAATAAAAGTTGTTTTATTTTATTATATATATGTAGTTATCTTCCAAGAAATTTTGCCACTTCAATAATTATGGTGCATTGACTGAGTCATTCTTCAAAAATTTAGTACTTTTCAGTGTATGGTGGACTTTTTGACTTTTGTAAACTAAAAAGCCAAACACGGAATTAGTTCTAATCTTATTTAATATTGTGAAAATGATGTTTTCCCTTGTTTTTAATAATATAATTCAAAAGTCTAGAATTTGGGAGTTGAATTACTTGGAAATTCTATTAATTAGATATATAGGTTTCTAAGACTTCTTTGTGAAACTTGTGGAATTAATAATGTATACTATAATATACGTTATTTTATCTCAATTTATATAATATTATTTCTATTTAATAATATTTTATATTAAATGGTAAATACCGTATTGGGAAAAGAGTATTTTGAATTTCACTTATAAAAATTCTAAACTCCTAACATACTATGTTAATTGCCAAAAAGTTTCCGTCTTTTAGATAAGGATATTCTTATCAAAATAAATTTTTTTCACATGAAAGAGTTTTAAGTTTATCGAGGACATATTCTTAGATATGAGATTATGAAGGACAAGTTTAAGTTTATCGAGGACATATCCTTAGATATGAGATTGTGAAGGACATATAGATTAGGATAGGAGCTCAGTAGGTAGGAATACATTGTCTTGATATCCGTCCATACTTGTAGTTGTAGTATTATTCTTGTATTTATCGTCCTTTGCTTTCTATTACTATCGTTATTTCTAGTTATTTCAGTTCTCATATTGTTTTGTTATTGTACTCTAATGTTGAATATCGTATTGTTTCGTTATTGTACTCTTCTATTGACTATCATATTGTTTTGACTCTTCTGTTGAAACTCGTATTATTTTGTTATTGTACTCTTCTGTTGACTATCATATTGTTTTGTATTGTACTACTATGTTACTTTCTTTTATTTTTACTGCTTTGAACTATTTTCTTAAGTGAAGGATCTACGAAAAACAACCACTAGAGGTAGATAATGCGTACTCTATGCTTTCCAAATTCTATTATATGAGCTAAACTGCGTATGTTTATTGTTGTATTGAAGAGTGGTTAAATATTACAACACCACTTTAATTTTGAGATTTGACTAATTTTTTAATAGCACAATATATAAGCATGTCAGTTTAGGCTCCATTGGTATCTACACCCTCTAATTTTAGGTGTGCACAAACAAATATTTAAATTTATACAAATTTGAACATGTAAACACACGCATTCTACGTGACGCATGACACATTGGATGCCATATAGGACCTATATGTTTACTTGTTCAATGTTAATACAAATTTAAATATCTACTTATGCACACGTAAAATTAGAAGACCCGTTTATAATATGATATGGGCCATAGCCAAAGGTGTTATCTTGGGCTAGACCATAATGTTGAAGGCCCATTAATCTCAATAAGCCCAAAACATCATTTTCTAGGTTTATTAAAATCCCTAATTCACCATCTTCATGAAATCTCTTTTTAGGGTTTTGCTTTCTTTCACTGAAACGCCGCCGCCGACGGAGAGAGAAGAAAACGAAAAATGAAGACTATTCTCTCATCGGAAACAATGGACATCCCAGACGGGATAACAATCAAAGTGAAAGCAAAGCTAATTGAAATCGAAGGGCCAAGAGGAAAGCTTACCAGAAACTTTAAGCATCTAAATCTCGATTTTCAGCTCATTAAGGATGAAGAAACTGGGAAGAAGAAGCTCAAAATTGATGCCTGGTTTAGTTCTCGTAAAGCTACTGCTGCTATTCGTACAGCACTTAGTCATGTGGAGAATCTGATCACTGGTGTTACTAAGGGGTACCGGTACAAGATGCGTTTTGTCTATGCTCATTTTCCTATCAATGCTTCCATTACCGGCGGGAACAAGTCCATTGAGATCCGTAACTTTCTCGGCGAGAAAAAGGTTAATTTTTTCCCTTTTTGGTTATGTATTTAGCTTTTTGATGATAAATTTAATTGAATTTCTGTTTGTTTAACTCTGCTTTAAAGTATTTTGATTATTCACGGTGCTGTTATATACCTATCGAGTTTGTTTGGTTAAAAGGAAAGTGCTTTTTGAGGAAATAAGCTTATGGTTCTGGATCATTTTCATATATGTGGTTTATAGGGTACTTGTTTGAACCTATAATGTGCATTATATAAGGTTAAAAGATAGTGGTTTTTGATGATATACTCGAGCTATGTTGCTCAGACTCTCGTAAATAATGCTGCCACCTGCATTTATTACTTCGACGAATGCACTACATTTGAAGGATCTAAGACGAGCCTGTCAACTTTTTTTGAATAGTCCGAGCAACATAGTATTAACAATGTCTAAGTTCTGATTTAAGCAAGTGATATGTTGTAGGAGTTGAGATGTTTGTGAGGGAAAGTGACTTCTCCAACTAATGGGTGAAACTCAATTTGTTCCCTTGGTGGAAATTTTTTCCTTGGAGAATTCAATTTCCCCAATCCTAGATACTAATGCCTACCAAATACACTTCGATATGCCTTTTTCTATTTCATTAGTTGCTTGGTGATGACTTTTCAAATAGGAAGTGAAAAAGCATTGAGAAGCATTTCTCCCTTAGTCTATCCATCCCTTTAGCATGTGTAGGTAACCTCGCAAGACTAATAGTCTAATATCATTGATTTTATGTCTTTTGACCATGTTTACTGTATCCATGATTATCTATTATGAACTTTCAATGTGCTTTATTGTATTGATACTGCTGTTTCAAGATTATACAAACGGTGAAAAGGGTACTAAGAAAATGACATTATACCTTTTAGAAGGTATTTTAAGTGTTTTCCTTTTAACTGTTTTCTCCTATGTCATAGCAATAGAAAAGTTGTCCTAGATTGATTGGTATATTTTACTACTCTCTTCTTTTAAAATTAGAGAATGTAAGGCTGATCTTTCAATGTAAATCTTCACTGTTCTGACTGTGTTACTGTGCTTGGTGTTGGTGTTTAGTAATTTGAATGCTGTCGTCCTCATCACATAGTTGTCTCAGATTTCAGCTTGATGGACATCCAAATAACCTTCTGAATGTTTACATTCTTGGCTCTTACACTTGTTAATGTAAATTAAGTGCAAGCCTGTTAGAGACTGACTTGTTTGCTGGTACTGTATCAGGTGAGGAAAGTTGATATGCTTGACGGTGTCACTGTTGTCCGTTCAGAGAAAGTTAAGGATGAGTTGGTTTTGGATGGAAATGACATTGAACTTGTCTCACGATCAGCTGCCCTGATAAACCAAGTAAAGCTCCCTTTCTTTCTGTTAATTACAGTTTTACTGTAATGTTTGCTTACTCTTTATAGTGAACTTCAACTTCTTGCATCCTGAGTTTAAACCTTCTTTATTTTTTCTACAGAAATGCCATGTGAAGAACAAAGATATCCGTAAGTTCCTTGATGGTATCTACGTCAGCGAGAAGGGAAGAATTGCTGAGGAAGAGTAGATAGTTAGCAATAGATTTCTCTTGATCTGTTTGTTCCCCATATTTTTGTTTTAAGCGCCGAGATTATATTAAGATTCCTTGCAATTTGAGTTTAGATTAAACAATTTTGAATTTAAGATATTCTTGCTTGAAGTTTCTTTCTTGAGCAAGCAGTTGTTTGTTCTTGAAGTAGGGCATGTGAAGTGTTTTTCTTGAAAAGCTATTTGGTTATAGTAATTCTCAATGCTGTGACTTTCTTGAAACTCATGATTTTAGCAACTTTTCTATACGAAGAGTTTGTTTAATGTCCAAGGTTGTGATCTAGTGGTTCAGGACTCATGAGTCGAGTATCATGAGGATTGTGGAGGCATGAGTTTTACTTTTTTCAAGTCTTGATGAATCGAGTTATCTAATATATTGACAGCTGATGCATTGTGGAATTCCACAATTAGTTGAGATGAATATGAACTTTATGTTCGAATTCAGAACTAAGCTAGCAAGGCTTGGTGATAGAAGTTTAAATACAATGTTAAAATATTATTGAATTTACTAATTCATATAGTTATAATAAATATTGAAATTGACGTTCCTATAAGAACAATTTACAAATTATGTTCCAAAAATACTTGCACATTCAATCGAAAAAGGTGTATATAAACACAAAATAAAAAGTATGTTAAATTCATATATTTACGAAATAAAGATAATACATCCCTAATATATATATATATATATAAATTTATAAGTGACAATACCAATAAGTAGGACACTTAAAAGTTGAATTGAAAAATGTGGTGAAAAGTGTGTCATTCTTTGTATGCTGGTGAACACCTACTTCGATATTTGTGCTGGTAAAAATATCTAAATATATAATTTTAAAATATTTTTTTTAAAATTAATTATTTCAAAATTATTAATTTCGAAATAACTTGTTCTATTAACACACGAAAGACAAGGACTAAACAAAAAATAAGAGTCAAAGGCGGTATAAAACCTTATTTTTTCTGTATAAAAGCTCCATAGCCCTAAATCCTGTTTGACAAATTTACAGCAATTTCTCTGAATCTGCATAATATGTTAGTTTATTAAAGTTCAAATTTTTATTGATAATTTTTCACTTTTTCAGTTTATTAAAGTTTAAATTTTTATTTAGAACTTGTTGTTGCGGCTGAAGAAGATGGAAAACGGTGAAATCCCAGAGAATGCTCCTGAACGTATGTAGATTCTTGATTTTAATCTTAAAGTTTGCATTTTTGTTCTTTGATTTCAGTGTTTTAAGCTTCTTTTTTTGTAAATTTTCAGATTGCCCAGGTCCACAATCTGAAACAGCAGGAAAATCTGATTCTTGTAAAGGATGCCCTAATCAAGAAATTTGTGCTACTGCTCCTAAAGGACCTGATCCAGGTTACTGTTTTACTTCTTTTTCGTGTGTAAAGATACTTTTTTCAGCTTGTTTTTCATATATTTGTGATATTGAGTGTTAATTTTATGACAGTAGAATGTTATCTAGTTTGTCTTCCGGAGTTTGTGGGATGTGTACCGGGCTCGTATTATAAGATTCTATCACCCTATGGTCAACATTCCATTTCCCTTAGTCGTAGGTGCTTGATCTATTTTGATTGGAATGGGGGTGATGTTCCCGATGTACACGTCTGGTTGAGGGTGTCTCGGTGATATAAACAAAGAAAAGGTGATGATTTTTGACATACCCTTGCAAATAATAAGAAATCGTCTACTCTATTGATGAATTTGAACTCTACTCTCTCCGCGGGCTTAGTTCAAGAGGCAAAGGTTGAGGGACTTGAACTTAGGTTGGATGTTTGGGTGTTGAACATGTAAACTAAAGCTGGTATCTGAGTGGAGAAGCTTAGAGAAGTGAACATATTATCCCTGAGTTTGGCAGGTTGTGGTTAGTCCTAAGGGTCTATAACTGTGCTCATGAAGTACCTTAAAGGCACAAAGAATGGATAGTTAAATTAGTTATGTTGGAATCTTAGTAAAACCATTAACTTAGGAACGAGTTAAAAAGTTTGAAGCATTAGCTTGGAATGAGTACTAGTAAGAAAAGAGAATGAGTACTAGCAGACACATGTGCTAATGTTCACACACTAGAATCTCTAAATAAAATCAAGCACCTCTTGGGATATCTTCCATTTCAATGTTACCTTTTCTAATTTTAGAATTGTTGTTTTGGTATGTTAATTTTGATCTGATGATTTTGTGTAGATATGGTGTAACTTAAGTCGCTCTTTCTTGTATGTATAGTACACTGCAACGAGTAGCAAGAAACTATATCGTAGCGAGTAGCAAAGGGAAGCTTGGGGGGGATTGTTGGTTGCGCTTTCTAATGGATAATTTGTTTGATACTGAGAGCTAGGTTATCCAGAATTGATATGATAAAGTGGTTGATAGTGTAATACTAACTAGATTGTTTATTTGACCAAGTTGGGACCTATCTGAGTTTCAATACATGCGGTATTTTCCGGCTGTCGGTTTTCCCTTAATTATTTTTACCTGTGGTACATGGTGCTCATTTCCAATGGTTTTGTATTGATGGTTTCGTGCAGACTTAGTTGCAATAGTAGAAAGAATGGCAACTGTGAAGCACAAGATACTGGTTTTATCTGGCAAAGGTGGAGTTGGTAAGAGTACTTTCTCAGCGCAACTTGCTTTTGCATTGGCAGCTATGGATTTTCAAGTGGGTCTCCTTGACATTGATATCTGTGGCCCCAGCATCCCAAAGATGCTTGGTCTCGAAGGACAAGAGATTCACCAGAGTAATATTGGATGGATACCTATTTACGTTGAGTCTAACCTTGGGGTTATGTCAATTGGTTTCATGCTCCCCAACCCTGATGAAGCTGTCATATGGAGAGGGCCTCGCAAGAATGCTCTAATTAAGCAATTCCTCAGAGATGTTGATTGGGGAGAGCTTGATTTCCTCGTGGTTGATGCTCCACCTGGGACGTCAGATGAACATATTTCAATCGTTCAATTACTCCAAGAAACTGGAATAGATGGCGCAGTTATAGTCACAACCCCACAACAGGTATCCCTGATAGATGTTAGGAAAGAAGTTAGTTTTTGCAAGAAAGTTGGGGTGGAGGTTCTTGGCGTTGTTGAGAACATGAGTGGTCTTTCCCAGCCACTCTCAGATTTGAAATTCACAAGAATGACAGAGACTGGCGAGCAGAAAGACATGACCGAGTGGGCCATGTCTTATATGAGAGAGAACGCCCCAGAAATGCTGAACTTGATTGCTTGTAGCGAAGTTTTTGATACCAGTGGTGGAGGTGCTGCAAAGATGTGCAACGATATGGGTATCTCGTTTCTTGGAAAAGTACCACTGGATCCTCAGCTATGTAAAGCAGCCGAAGAAGGAAGATCATGCTTTTCGGATGATAAATGCCAGGCAAGTGCCCCTGCACTCAAGATGATAATAGAAAAGATATTAGCTCAGAAAAACATCTCAACAGAGAATGGAGCATAGTATTTATAACTTTTTTCTAGGCTTTCTGTACCTTTTCTCTGATTAAATTCCGGGTGCATGTGACCAACGTTTTATTCGCAAGGGAGATCTTTTAGTATGAATGTATTATACAGTTTCTACTGATTTTTGTAGAACATTCCGTGCATACATACGAATCTTTTGTGATATCAGTTAAGTTTAATTGCTGTGAAATTTTCCTCTTCATTCCAACAGGAGCTATAATGTGCAACACTTTTAGTAGTGTTATGTAATTGTGATTACTGGTTGTTATGCAGTTACTCTTTGGAACAAATTGGTGGTACTCAAAGCCAATCTTGGGCCAAATTTAAGTAGCCAGCCCATGTGACCTTGTGCATAATTATACAAGGCACCTATTCGACGTTGATGCTGGTGGTATGTAACAGATATTCAATTGAATAGTTATTGTGCACAAGTATGGTGCACAAGTTGTCCACGTTCATTGCATCTGATTCACATTTCATGAGTTACTTAGTTAAAGCATGAGCAACTCGAATTCATTTCACGAGTTAGTTAATTAGAGCATGAGCAACTCGATTCAATCAAGATCATCGAAATAAGAAATATTTTTGTCACTTGAGAAAAACTCAAAACAAGAAACATTTTTTTGTCACTTAAAAGAAAAACTCAAACGGACCAAATTGTTCATGAGTATATTTAAGGGATTATTATAAACACATACATAACATAATAGACCATTTGTTGTCATTTTCTTAGAAGTTACTAATACATGATTTATGTTCATTGTCCAAAAAAAAACTGTTCCTCAGTATCTCCAAATAGTGGCAGCTGGAGTCAGACAACATTATTAGTTTCAAAAAAACGGAATCTTGAAATTGCTGGCACTGAATCTTTGTGTCACTGTTTCATTTTGTGAAGTGTGAGGGCTTCTATTTGCTGATTTGTTAATTTCTGTTTATGCCTACAACTTGTTTGATTATATGCTCCAAATTAAATTGCTTTATCAATTTTGACTTTCTTTGTATTGATTAGGGTTGAACATAAGTTGATTGTCAAAGGGGTAAAGGTTAACCAGTCAGAAGGGGAAAAAAATCTGATCTTGTAGAATTTATTGCCCTTATATGAATTTGCTGAAACAGGGGGAAAAAATCTGTTCATTATCCATTTGGAATGTTCAAAGAGAATAAGGAGGCAATTACTATTTGTCTTACAGAGATCGTTCAGTTTTTATTCAATCTTCAGAGTCCTACGGCATAAAATGAGATGAAAACCTTATTGAGATTCAAAGAAAACGTCATATCAGTACATGGATTGGTTATTTCTGGTCCATTGTTACCACTTCTGTTTCAGCATCTGCGTTGTTGCTCTGGTGCAACAATTCAGTGGAAGAATGAGAGAGTACCAATCAAATGTAGTGATTTGCTCGATGAGTTCACTACTTATTGCTATGCGAGGGATCTTCCAAGGGCAATGAACGCATTGAATGCCTTGCAAATTCAAAAGATATGGGCTGATGCTGTCACCTACTCTGAACTCATCAAGTGTTGTTTGGCTCGTGGCGCAGTGGAACATGGTAAACGTGTCCACCAGCATGTGTTCTCGAATGGTTATGAGCCTAAAACTTTCCTTGTTAACACACTTATGAATATGTATGTGAAGTTTAACATGTTGGAGGAAGCGCAGGCTTTGTTTGATCAAATGTCTGAGAGGAATGTTGTTTCCTGGACTACCATGATAGCTGCCTACTCTAGTGCTAAGATCAATAACAAGGCTTTGGAGTTTTTGATCTTCATGATGAGAGATGGCGTGAAACCTAATATGTTTACTTACTCCTCTGTTCTGAGAGCTTGTGATGACCTTTCCAATCTTAGGCAGCTCCACTGTAGCTTACTTAAAGTTGGTCTGGAGTCTGATGTATTTGTCCGAAGTGCTCTTATTGACGTTTACTCCAAAATGGGTCAACTCGAGTGTGCAATGTGCACCTTTAATGAGATGGTGACTGGGGATCTTGTTGTGTGGAATTCCATTATTGGTGGATTTGCGCAAAACAGTGATGGGGATGAAGCCTTGACTCTCTTTAAAAGAATGAAGAGAGCTGGATTCTCAGCTGATCAGTCGACCTTGACAAGTGCTCTTAGAGCTTGTACTAGTTTAGCACTTTTAGAAGTTGGAAGGCAGGTCCATGTTCATGTACTCAAGTTCAAGCGGGACCTAATCCTTGATAATGCACTTTTGGACATGTATTGCAAGTGTGGCAATTTGGAAGATGCCCACCAAATATTTAGTCAGATGGTAGAGAAGGACGTAATCTCCTGGAGTACCATGATCATAGGCTACGCTCAGAATGGTTTCAGCAGAAAAGCACTCGAATTGTTCAAGGAGATGAAAGTCTCAGGGATCAGACCAAACTACATCACTGTTCTTGGAGTTCTATTCGCTTGTAGCCATGCAGGACTCGTAGAAGATGGACAATTTTACTTCCACTCAATGAAGAAGCTCTTTGGTATTGATCCAGGAAGAGAACACTATGGCTGCATGGTTGATCTTCTTGGAAGATCTGGAAAGCTAGATGAAGCGGTGAAACTAATCCATGAAATGGGATGTGAACCAGATGCAGTGACATGGAGAACATTGCTTGGTGCCTGCAGAGTACATCGTAACATGGATTTAGCTGAGTATGCCGCCAAACAAATTATAAAGCTGGATCCAAGTGACGCGGGAACTTACATATTACTATCTAACATATATGCTCGTACTCAAAAATGGGAAGACGTTATGGACCTGAGAAGGTCCATGAAGGAAAGAGGAGTAAAGAAGGAACCAGGGTGCAGCTGGATTGAAGTAAACAAACAAATCCATGCTTTTATAATGGGAGACAACTCTCATCCACAAAAAGAGGAAATCAACAAAGAGCTAAATCAGATTATTTGGAGATTAAAAGAGGTGGGATATGTTCCAGATACAAACTTTGTCTTGCAAGATCTTGAAGATGAACAGATGGAAGACTCACTTCTGTATCACAGTGAGAAAATAGCTGTTGCCTTTGGTATACTAAGCCTGTCTAGAGAGAAGACCATTAGAATCAGGAAAAATCTAAGGATATGTGGGGATTGTCATTTATTTGTGAAACTTTTGGCACAGATAGAGCATAGAAGCATTGTCATAAGAGATCCAATCAGGTATCATCATTTTCAGGATGGTATTTGTTCTTGTGGAGATTATTGGTAGTAGGGAATGGAGTATCGTATCGTATCATATTATATTAAAAGTGGAAAGCTCCAAACTTCAAAGTTGATTTACCATTTTCTGCTATGTTAAATTATACAAGAAGGGGAAATTTTATTGATTCTCTTGTGAACGAGTTCCATAGAACCTCAACAATCTTTGAAGTTTCTTTTGTATCACTTTATGTGACACTTTTCGCATTTTGAGATTTAAACAAGTCTATTTTTGGTCGTAAGTTTTTCGTAAATCCTTTTCACATTTTGAATTATCAATTATTCTGATTTATATTACTCTTTACATAGTTTACAAATATATAAATTTAAACCAAAAAAATTGAAGATTTCATAGCAAATGTCCGGTTAAAATTAAACCATTTGACTCTTGGAAAACGAAAAGTGTCACATAAAACGAGACAAATGAGTATATTTTTTTGAGCTTTCTGATTGGAAAGATCTGTCTTTTACGTCAATGAGGAAGCAAAACACAAATTTGCTTTCTTTTAGAATATAATGAAAGAAATAAAGGTTCGAAGATTAGACTACTCATATAATTTTATTTATAGAAATGAACATAAAGAAAAAAATATATTTACCAATAAAAAAGAAGAGGAATCCTTTTTTTTTTTTGATAAAAAGGACAGGCATGTCAGAATGGGACTCCTAAATTGTGTAAAATTTGTTAATTTGAAATTAGTCCCACGAGGGTCTTGATGTTATAAAAACACTAAATCAAAGGACTTAACATGTAATTATTAGTATAAATAATCGGTAAATTTTTTGCCAGGATCGTTTGATATGATGAATAAATAATATCAATATCAATTATTCAACGATACAAGTATGAATATGACAAAGTAATGGCCATCGATCCAATTTAGTGCCTTTGCTTGTGTAGGTTTACTATCTTTATTCATAGCGTTGAGACCATATAATTTTCTTTTTGATGACTTCGTAGATAAATTTACAATACACAATTTATCTCATATAAGCTCATTCATGATACATAATGAGAAAAATAAAAAGAAAAAAAATTATTAAATTTCGAACAAAGTTCCATATTGACAGTTATACAAAAAGTTACATAATGCAGTGAAACTTTAAATTACAAACTTAACCATAAATAAATAACATCACACTATAATCATATATTACTAAAAGCATGAACAAAAAGTTGAAAGTTGAAAGTTGAATTACGGTTTTACCCTTTCTATAAATTTAATTGTTATAAAATATTTAAATATTTGATTGTATAAATTTAATTAAATATTAATGACTTCTAGACTTCTTAAGATTAATTCCTAATTAAATATCTAATCTATTAATATTTATCATCTATAATAATAATTATAATTTTTTTTAAAAATCTTTATCCAACTTTCTTTTCTTTTCCTCTTGTTATAACTTTTTCCTTAACCCCTCTCATAAATAATATAATTGATGTGGATAAAGTATTATCTTTTATGATAAATAACGAAATTTAATAATTTAAAGGGTGCAAAATCTACAAAATGGAGACGCACATTGATAATGTCCTCTTGATTATTATTAAAGAATGACTCTAGCTTCACAAATTTAAATTAATTAATACTTATTACGTGATAAGAACTTTAGTTGTTCTTTTTACATGGTTTGCTAACTTTAATTTTTTTTTCATATTCTTCATTTATTTATTATTATTTTCTAATTACTTATTTAACTTTTATACTCTTAATATTCATAACTTTCATCTTTTCATATTCATAACCTCCAAATATTTAAACTAAAACTTTAAGATATCTTTTGATATTCCTTCTATTCTATTTATATAAATTCAACTTCTTTATCTCATGAAACCCATATCAAAAGTATTATTTTTATTCTATAGTAAAAACAGATGATGAAGACTCTTGAATTTTGATAGGATATGAAAGGAGTCGATAAAAACTCAGAGAGTTATGTACTAATTTTTACTTATTTTTTCATCCATATATACATCAATCTTATAAGAATAATGTCTATATTGTATTTTTTCTTAAATATTCTGTTTCTTTTTGTCTTTCTTTCATTCTGTTAGACTTCTTAATTTAGTTTTCTGTGAATGTTTTATTGTTGTAAGTCTTTGAATTTTGTAATTGTTATATTTTATTATTCATAACAATTTACATATATATTTTCACGAGATTTTAGTTATTCTATGTATTTATAAAAATTCACATGAAATACACATGCGAAGCACGTCCTCAGAAACTAGTTAAAAAAAATTCAAACTATTTTAGCCCAAAATTATTTTTTTTACCAAAGAAATGGGAATCTTTTCAATAATCCAAGAAAAGACATGCTTACATTCAGGCGTGTCAGAATGTCCCTCCTAAAATTCTGTACATTTTGGTTACGATGGAATTTTAGTAACTCAATTGATTAATAATTATAATTTATTATATTTTTCATTACGTGCCTCACATGACACTATCTTAAGTTCGAGTTACAAATGAATCATAAGATGAGAATGTCAAAGAAAAGAAAAATGATTTACGATTTTGACTGATTGACATTATGATATTTAGTATTTATATTAAAATCTAAGTAAATTCATATTAGCGATACAAAGTTCCGCATGAAGAAAAATAAAGCACGAAAACTCAAACCTGAAAACTCTGGTAAAGAATATACCACTCCATCACAATCCTAATCGATTTTATCCCTTCAAAATGTTAGGTAGACTCTTCTTCTCTCTTGTGTCACATTGTGGGACCCAAAATATGAGATGGGGCCCCACCAATTATCTTATCATCTCATGATTCATGAGCTTGCATAAGAATATAGCAAATATAAACAAATGGCCAATGGCCCCCCATGGCTGTATATAATGTAATCTCTGTCTTTTAGTGCACGTTTTGATGTTAACAGATAACATCAATCGAGACCAACAACTTGCCCTTTTTCATTAATCGCGATATTTGAGTCAATTTATATGTATTTCAATTTTTAATTTGACTTATATCGTAATTTTTAAGCATTTCATTGATCACTAAGCAAAGCTCGAGTGTTAAAACATATTGTTGAACAAGTAAGCCTGTTTAAGTAAAAAAAGGAGTGTTTTTTTCTGTTGATTTATTTCATATGGGAATTTTAGTATTAGTAAATACATCAACTTTAAAAGAGGCTGACAAAAACAAAAAGTGGGCAAAACCATTGGATTCAGTGACCCTTTTGTTGCCTTATACTGCTCTTTTGTTTTTATTTGTGTTTCCTGTTCTTGATATTCCTAAGTTTTCTTTTTCAAGATTTCATCTGATTTTTAGCTTTTGGGGGTAATCAATAGGGAAGTTTGAGCCTTATATTTGTTGAAAGATAGGTTCTTTTTTTGTCTGATTTGAGTTCTAGATATGCTTTTTAGTTCTGTAAGTTCACTGTAAAGATTGTTTTTTTCTGGACTTGTGATTTAGTAGAGAGCTCCAAGACTTAAATAGTATAAAGGGTTCTTTAAATTTGCTTCAAATTTTGTTTGTGCCAGGTTTTTTTTTATAGATTCTTAGCTAGAAATGTGGGAAAGGTGATAATTTTTGGTATCTTAGTATATCCCTTTGTATTTGGATTTGCTGCACTCGAGCTGAGGATCTTTTATCTTTCGGATTTTTTCATGAGGTAGTGGTAAGGTTTGCCTATACTCTACTCTCTACGGACTCTACTTGTGGGATTACTCGAGCTGAGGATCTTTCATCTTTTGGATGTTTCCGTGAGGTAGTGATAAGGTTTGCCTACATTCTACTCTCTACGGACTGTGCTTGTGGGATTTCACGGGGTATGTACTATGTTGTTGTTATTGTAACTTAGTATATCCCTTTCCAAATTGAATTGATAATGATGAAAAGTTTCGATCTTTGTAGTTCTTGAAAGTGGAAAAAGTTGTTATTTTTGGTCTAATATACAAGAAATCCATTAGGATTTTGGGGGTTATGATCATGGAGAAACAGGTTAGTTTCCAGGGTGCAAAAATGGAAAAACAGCAAAGTTTTCAAAACGGGGCGATGGAGAAGCAGAAGAGCTTTATAGGAATAATGGAAAAACAGAAAAGTTTTAGGATAGCAATGGAGAGGCAAATGAGTTTTGGTGGTGAGAGGAAAAGGGGTAAGGATTCACCGGGGAAACGTGGGGATTCCCCGTTGCATCTTGCAGCTAGAGCTGGGAATTTAGGGAAGGTGAAAGAAATTATTCAGAAGTTTGATGAAAAAGGCATAAAAGATTTGTTGTGTCAGCAAAACCAAGAGGGAGAGACTGCTTTATATGTTGCTGCTGAGAATGGTCATAGTTTGGTTGTTGCAGAGTTCTTGAAACATTTAGACCTTGAAATTGCTTCTATTGTGGCGAATAATGGTTATGATACACTTCATGTTGCAGCAAGGCAGGGTCATCTTGGTGAGTTCCTCTATTAATTCTAAAGCAAATCGACTTCGATTCTTGAAAAATCAAATTAGGCTAATTTAGGGGATAGAGAATATAGATTCTTTCGCATCTCGATTCAGTTTTGATATTACATGTGGTCCTCATAATATCTTTCCAGATTCGGTTTCAAAGCAATAATTACCAGTAAAAATGTGTACTTCATGAATGAGATGCGTACTTCACATGAAATTTTATTTCTGCTAATAATGATGGTGACAAAAGGGGAGTCTTGCCGTAACTGGTAAAGTTGCTGCCATGTGACCAGGAGGTCATAGGTTCAAGCCGTGGAAACAGTCTCTTACAGAAATTCAGGGTAAGGTTGCGTACACTAGACCCTTGCGGTCTTGCCCTTTGGACTCTGCACATAGCAGGAGCTGTAGTGCACCTGGCCTCCAATACTGATGGTGATTAGAGTCTGCAATTTCTATCCTAGATCTTAGTTTTCAGAATCAAAGTTCTATCCGTCAGTGGACATATATCTGACGACCGAACAACATAAAAGCATTGTGTTTTCTTTAGTACATTTCTCCATGTCGTCTCAATTATGTCGTACAGGGTTGTTTCTATCAAACTGTAAAAAAATCAACTGGAACCTCGATCCTAACACTAGAGCTTATATGTTTTTGGTGACCATAAAAATGAAACTTTATGGTCAAGTCTTGATTTACTCCCTCCGTTCCAGTTTACATGTCTTAGTTTGACCGGGCACGAAGTTTAAGAAAGAGACAATGTTTTTGGAACAAACCAAAAGGGAAAGTAAGACACTATTATTGTTGCTTCAAGCTTGTTGTGGATACTTGTTAAACATGAATTC